TTCTATAGTTTAAAACTTCTACTAAATGATACTAAAATACACACATATATGTATACACACACAATAAGAAATGGTAAAAAAAAATAATTAAACTTACTTTTTTTCTCGGGGTTTGTATTATTATTGTTCAAGTATTTATATTTTTATGAAATTTTGATTCTATTGTTTAAAACAAAATATTTTAAATTTAGCATTTCTTATTTCCAATGATTATTTCGACAACTAAGAAGTTTTAAAAAATGAGAAACTAAAATTAAAATCTAAAAAAAGCAGGGACCAAAATTTTGAGCCTTGTTTCTTTAAAAAATCAGCTGTTTTTTGTTGTTATAGCAACCATTAAGAATTGCCTAGAAGTGTGCATCTCTAACAAAATGGAGCAAATATTCCATACAAACAAAAATATATACTAACATTATATGAAGTTAGTTGATGAAATTAGCAAAAATTTGGCTATAAATTGAAAGTGTACAATCTTAATAAAGAAGTTAGACAATTTATAGCAACTCTAGCTGTAGCCCAGGCAGGAGCCACCGTTATAAGAAGTTGAACCTCTAATGCCAGCCGTTTTTAGTTAGACACATACCCAACTCGTGGCTTATTATTGCATATATATAAAGCTCACCTTCTCTTCTTCCTTACTCAACCCATCCCCTCTCTCAGGGGTTTCCCCTACCTTTCAAGACTCCAACACTTTTTTTATCTATATCTATTATTTTAATATATTGACAATACTTAAATTATATATTTATACATCATCATATTTGTTTATATTATTTTCTTTCTCTGTATCAAATCAAAGATTTAAAAAAAAAAAAAAAACTTCGATATTCCCTACCATATTTCACCATAAACATTCAAAGAACATTTCTGTCAGATAACCGTGGTCTCTAACCTTTCAACCCTCTTTCACTCCCTTGTACATCTTCTTAATTTGCTGAACTTCACTCCTTTGCACATTTATTTGTCCTTAAGTAAGTAATTAGCTTAATACTTTTGGTTCCTTTGTAAAATAACTATATATATTGATATTAATGTTATATGGATGTTGTTGTTGATATGCACAGGCGACAAACAAAATGGAAAGTGGGAGCAACAACGAAGGACTAGCGCGGAGAAGGGGATGCACATTTGAAAGAAATGACTTCTACCCAGAAGAATCATTTAAGAGTTGGGGCAATTATGGAAAAGCGTTGAAAGAGACGCCATTGAGGTTGAAGAATAGAGTACTGACCCGATCGAAGGATGAGACAGAGGTGGTGGAGATGAAGGGACGAAGCAACTACGAAATGAAGAAGACACTAAACTCGTGGGATCTTATATGGTTTGGCATTGGTGCTGTTATTGGGTCAGGCATATTCGTCCTCACCGGCCTGGAGGCGCGTGAGACAGCAGGTCCTGCGGTTGTTTTGTCCTATGTTGTTTCTGGTGTCTCTGCCTTGCTCTCTGTCTTCTGCTACACCGAATTTGCCGTCGAAATTCCTGTTGCAGGTTCTGCATGCATGCATGCATGCATGTTTTGCCTAACTAATTTTTCATTTTACTTGCATATATGTGATCATCATTTTTCTATATTTGCCCTCTGTTTCGTTGATAGGAAAGAAAATGAGGAGTGGGAAAATTTTGAAATTTTGGTTCCAAGAGTCAATTTTTATCTCTTTTCTCCTTAATTAAATAAAAAAGTATTACATCATTATTTAAATTTTGAAAGAAAAATTTTAATAAGTATTTTGAGGATATTAATTAAGAATAAGTAATACTAATTTTTTTAAGAAAATGTTCACCATTAATAAGATTAATTTTAAGTAGTTAAAAAAATATTAATTTGTATATTGTATGTTTGATGTAATAAATATTTTTTATTTTAATAAAAAATATTAGTTTTACATGCTTAAAATTAATTTGAGACAATAATGTTTAACAAACTTAAGTTCTTAAAATAAGAATATTTCAATTTACTAATAATAATTTACGATAAAGTGTAACATTAAATTAATACTATATCGTGATTTGTAGTGAAAAAATTCTATATATTTACTCATTCAAAACTATTTGATATATAGTAATGTAATTATTGTTGTTGTGCAGGTGGGTCATTTGCGTACTTAAGAGTCGAATTGGGTGACTTTGTGGCTTTCATGGCGGCCGGAAACATCCTCCTTGAGTATATAATTGGTGGCGCTACCATATCGAGATCATGGACCTCTTACTTTGCCACATTATGCAACAAACACCCAGATGAGTTTCGCATAGTTATCCCTAACATGAATCCTAACTATAACCATCTTGACCCTATAGCTGTTGTGGCTCTCATAGCCATAGCTACTCTTGCAGTTCGTAGCACCAAAGCCTCTTCCATCTTTAACAACATTGCCACTATCTTTCACTTAATTGTGATTGTCTTCATTATCATCGCTGGATTCATCAAGGCCAACCCCGAAAATCTCACTACGTTTGCTCCTTTCGGTGTCCGTGGTGTGTTCAAAGCTTCAGCTGTTCTTTTCTTTGCTTACCTAGGCTTTGATGCAGTGTCAACTATGGCTGAAGAAACAAAGAACCCGGGTAGGGACATTCCCATTGGTCTTGTAGGCTCAATGATGATTACCACAGTGGTGTATTGCTTATTAGCAATAACATTATGCCTTATGCAATCCTACAAGGATATTGACGTAGATGCACCATTTTCTGTGGCGTTTAATGCCATGGGATGGAATTGGGCTAAGTATATTGTTGCATTGGGAGCATTGAAAGGAATGACAACTGTGTTGTTGGTGACTATAGTGGGTGAATCTCGTTATCTAACTCACATTGCACGTACCCATATGATGCCTCCTTGGTTTGGTCAAGTTGATGATAAGACTGGGACACCAATGAATGCTACAATATCAATGATTGCAGCTACAGCTATAATTGCTTTCTTCACAAACTTTCGTGTTCTTTCCAACCTCATGTCAATTTCCACTCTCCTTATCTTCATGCTTGTGGCGGTGGGAATTTTAGTGCGTCGCTATTATTCAACTGGAGTAACTACAAAAGAGAATCAAGTTAAGCTCATTGTGTGCATTGCACTAATTATGGGGTCTTCATGCGGTGTTTCTCTTTACCGGGCAGTGAGTGATGGTTGGATTGGATGGGCAATAGCAATGCCATTGTGGGCTTTAGCGACTGGCGGTCTTTGGCTTGGTGTTCCACAGGCAAAGCAACCAAAAGTTTGGGGGGTGCCTTTGGTTCCATGGCTACCTTCTTTATCTATTTTCATTAACATATTCCTTCTTGGGTCAATTGACGTAGACTCATTTATCAGGTTTGGGATTTGGACAGCGTTTCTCTTGATTTACTATGTTCTTGTTGGGCTACATGCCTCTTATGACACAGCCAAGAAGTTTGATGAATGCAAAAATAACACTGAAGAGGTTGATAATGTGTTGAACAATGTCGAAGAGGGAGAGCAAAGGGAATAGACTACATTTCTATTGAGAATGTAAACATTTTCATTGTACATGCCTGAAGAGTGACTTACTCTCACAATTACATATGTATGTGAGGATATACTCTAAGGCAACATAGTATCCTATGTATTATTGACAATGTATGACAAAAAATATTACCCACTACATGCCAAAATTATTACTTTGCTTATCACATGCTTAGGTTTTCTCTTTATTTCTTTTATCCAAAAACCTTCATGCTAAAAACTAGCTTTTGAGTATGTACCTCTACAAGCCTTTTTCCTTTTCTGGACAAAAGCAAGCTAATAATCATGAGGACAATGATGAATGCATGTCTAATTTTTAGGCGTAAATAAGAATAAAATAAATAATATAATAAATAATGTGATGAAAAAGAATAATAAGTTAAAAAAGAGATGTAAAGAAGGTATATAAATATTAGAATTGTGATGATTGAAATAAGCTTATGGCCCACTCTTCAATAAATTTAATAAAAATGGTTTAGTTAATAATTTTCGAAAAGGATGAGCAATAAACCTTCAATTATCAAAACATGCTTAACACAATCATGGGTGTACAGGACAGGTTTCTATTTATTCTTACCAATCCTAAATTGTGATTGTGAGAGGTATTTTTCAGGAAATGAATCTGACCCAGTCAAAGCCCAATAATATATGAAATAAGACTCGATCAACTTAAATTTTGACAAAACATATTAATTTAATATTATGTATAGCTAAATAAAAAATTTAACAAAATTAAAATTAAGATTACCTTATTATATACAATTCAAAATAAAGAATATTAATGGGAAAATCGATTCTTCTAGTAAACCAATCTGGCACTCCATTTAGCTACCAATGATGAACACATTTCAATTAACCAAAGGAATTTATTTTTCTTACTCAGCCCAAATCATGGCCTTGTTCTTGAGGTTTTTCTATTTGTCTTTTGGCTGGTTATCCACACTGCAAAATTTTGAGTAAATATTAGATTGGATAAAAATGACTCTTGGACAAAAAAATATACCAGAATAAAAACTTCAAATTTTAAAAAAATTACTAAATGTTTAAGTGAAGTTTTAATTTGATCTTTTAACTTTTTTTATTATTCAATTTAATTCTCTAAATTATATTTTGTATTAAAAATTCCTCTAATTTTGCTTTATCTTTTAATTTTTATTGATTCAGAGAAGGCTTTAGTATTTAATATTGATATGAGTAATTGTTAGATATTTATAACAAAAAAATGAATAGCTAGTAAAAAATATATTTTACGGACAATTAAATAAGTTTTAGTAATGATTTAAAATTTGTTGAATTGAAACTTTCTTTTAACATAAAAGATGAAAAGTATAGTTTATTAAACAAATAAGGATTATTTAGTTGGAATAATATTATTTCATTTATTATTCTAAAAATTTAATAAGACTTCCACCTTAATTTATTTTTTTTACTCTTAAATATTTATATAAGAAATTACATAAATATTTAAAATATAACAAATATTAAAATGAAGAACGTTTTAAAAATACAAAGGCTTATTTAAAAATACGAAGCGAGGCTGAAAAGAAGGGTCGTTCGAACTTCGAAGGTGAATCCTTGAAATCCAAAACAATCGCATCGCATAATGGCACGTTGATGGAGGTTCTGTCTCTCCTTCTCTCTCTGAGTACTGAGTTTACTGTGTTGATATTTTTAGTATAAAAAAAATCCACTTCATTTTCGTTTTAATTATTGTTTTCAATCGTTGATGCAGAGTAGAAATTGAACTTAATCAATGTTAAATCATTGCATGGGAAATCGAAGGAGGTAACACTGGAACCCTAGTTTCCATGAACCAACAGTGATGACCTTCACCCTAATAAGCCAATTACCTTTCCTTTTTTAACTTCTTCCGTCACAACAATAATAATCCTTTGAAACCCCTAATGATTTGCTTCAAAATTGCATTTTGCTTTTATTATATTAGTGAAATACTGGAATTTTTCCCTGTTACTTTGGTTAATTTTTCTTAAAGCCAAATTTATATATGCAGTAGCATTTCTCGGAGCAAAGTGTGGATTTTGTTAACTACGAGTGCAAGGGGTACCATTCTGTGCTAGTTATGCTATTAATGGTCATTTTTTATGATGTTTCCTTGGTTATTTGGTACTGCAAGAAATTGCAATTTTGTTCATGGCCTTCAACAAGGATACATTTACCAGCAGAAGTTTAGTCTGGTGAACATAAAGTTGAAATGGGTGAAAGACAGGACATTGGATGCGGTTGTTGCTGGTCAGAGGGATCTTAAGGCAGCTTGGATCCTTGGTTCGATCATTTATTCTTCTTCAGAGTGTTGCCTTCCAATATACCATCTTTCTCGCCATCGCGGCCAACTTGGTCTTCCCCATGACCTTAAGCTCTCTACCTTTATCAGAAGATATCCTAATGTTTTTGTTGAGTCCCATTTTCTTGATGGCGGAGGCTCTCCTGTCCCGTGTTTCAGCTTGAGTCCTGAAGCCTTGAAGCTCCATCATGAGGAAGTTAAAATCCTTCAGCAAAATCAGTTGGAACTCAGGGATAGGCTATGCAAGTTGCTTATGCTCACAAGAGATAGGGTCCTTCCACTACAAACCATTGACCAATTAAGATGGGACATGGGTTTACCATATGATTACCAGCATTCTTTTGTTCTGAATCACCCTGAAAAGTTCTCTTTTGTTCACCTCCCCGATGATCGCATTGGCTTGAAATTGTTGTTTTGGGATGACAAGCTTTCCATCTCGGAGTTACAGAAGAATACTTCTCTACAGCAAAATGAAGACGACATAAAAAATGGATCCTTAGCATTTCCAATTAGTTTCACAAGGGGTTTTGGTTTGAAAAGAAAATGCATGGAATGGTTGAAAGAGTGGCAGAAACTCCCCTATACATCACCTTACATCAATGCTTCTCATTTGGATCCTCGTACTGATGTATCTGAGAAGAGGATAGTTGGAGTCTTTCATGAGCTCCTTCACCTTACTCTTCATAAACAAACTGAGCGCAAGAATGTTAGCAACTTGCGTAGACCCTTGGCTCTACCCCAGAAGTTTACTAAAGTGTTTGAGCGTCATCCTGGTGTATTTTATATTTCCAAAAAGAATGATACCCAAACCGTTGTTCTAAGGGAGGCCTATAATGGCCAGGAACTCCTGCAGAATCATCCCCTTGTAAAAATTAGAGGGGAATTTGCAAGTCTACTGAAGAAAGGGCTACTGGATAGGAGTAAGGGTTTATACAAAAAAGGCACAGATACTAATTTGGTTGAGGGTCTGAGAAAGGAAGTTTGCATTGCTGAAAAAACTGACCAGCTTAGTTCTGAGGATGAATCAGATTCCATGTTTTCTGAATATGATTCAGATGGTCCTCTACAAAACCCTTGCTGATATATGTCAATGTGGTTTTGTTTTTTGTTTTTTTCGCTTAGCCATTATGTTAATATGATTTGGCTTAGTGAGATTCTTGAAATCTGGCCTAGATGGGATGCTTGCATTCATAATGTTCACCCACTTCTGCCACTTGTGAAGACCTGTCAGTAACCAAATATATCAGCAGTGCTATAATCAAAGCAAGGGAGAGCATTTGGTGTTCAGATTAGATGTAATATAATAACAAGTGTCCGTTCTCAATCGCGTTATTGGATGGATGGCATGGAAAAAATTGACACAGCCATAATTGAATTTTGCTGCAAGGTAATTTTGTGCTGAGCATCACAAAAACTTTATGGGAATTAATAATTTAAGTTAATGACTATGACTATATTCCTATCATTCAAGGACGAGAAGTGGTTTTGGTATGAATCTCATCATCAATTCGGCTGCGGTGAAACTAAGCTTTATGCCGCGACATGTGCCTAAGAGACTTACTTCTGTTATGAACAAGAGACCAAAAGGTCCTACCAAACCGAAGAAGCAAGCTGTCCTCGTCCAATAATCATTATATATCAATAGCAATAATGTTTATCTCGCACCCTGAGATGGGTGAAAAGGGGAGAGATATGTATTAGACGATGTAACGAAAAAAAAAAAGTGCCACATTTAATACTTCATTGACAAAGTTCACAAAAATGAAGTGTTTTTTTTTTTTAAATTAGCATATGTTATAGCATTCTTATTTAATATAGGTAGAAACATATTAACATGTTAGATTGTATTTAATATGGTGCACCATTTTTGCAAGAGTTAAGTAATAGATTTCAATTTATAAAGTAAAATGAATGGCAAAATTACACATTTAAAAACTAATTTGAATGTTATGTTGTTTAACTCTTTTAAAAAATATTAAACTTAATCTTTGAACGTGTGATTTATCATTTATTTTTAATCTTTGAAATATAATCCGTTAAATATGTGACATATTAACGTGTCTAAATATGTTAATTAAGAATGTTACAACATAAAATAAAATAAAAAAACTTTTTTGTCTCTAATAATACTTTATTAAAAATCTACACAAAAATATAATTGTTTTAATCACTTTCATGTCACAATATTTTTAATTAGCAATTTAACATAATTAAAAAATATTAACATATAATATCATTATAAAAATTAACTAATAAATTTTAATATAGAGACAAATATCTGACACACTACATATGTAAAGGGTAATTTTAATATTCTCTTTTTTGAAATCAAATTAAAGAATTCCCTAATTTTTTGTACCAATTTAAAATTTAAGTCAAACGATAGCATTTAAATTTAACTACTAATCAAAACTCAATGACATTTTAATTGACCAATTAAAACTCGATGACATCAATCTCTTGCAAAATACACTGCTATTGACACAACATATTGGACATTAAACAGAAATTAAACGACTAAATTTGATAAAAATAGAAGCTCAGAACCAAACAAAACAAACAAGATGAAACAAGAAATTTTACCCAAATTATTTGAAAAACGATTAGGTTTTTGAATTTAATAAAAACGATTACATTAACGTAATAATTAAATGGTACACTGACATCAAATTATTTGAAAATCAATTTGAATTTACCAAATTTTTATTGACCGAATGTGAGGATTTACCCTCTTTTTTCACATGTCAAACAGTAGAGTTTTAAATATTTAACAAAATTTCAAATATTAAGATTTATCCCTTAATATTGGACGTCAGATTCGACCAGATGATTTTCCTTTTCCCGCGATTCACTTGTTAACAGGACAGTCAACAGCAACGCATAACTGACAACTTGAAAACGAATATTAGGAAAATGGAAAAGCAAGAAAGTTTCAAATGGAAGCCCTGTTGGCTATTACACTGAACATGACAAGCATATTATACACCATTTGTGATCCATATAATGCAAACCATTCCCTAGTCTCAGCATAGTCGAAGGTACAAGCCGAGGAAAACAAATAGCACATAATGTTATTTTAACCCCTACCTACCACTCCCCACACCAAAAAAAATGTTGAGAAACGACGAATCTCCAAATGAGTATAGACTCAGTGCAACCTTGTCAACTCTTCTACTCTCTTGCATAACTCCTCTACTGACACATCCATTGCCTTGGAAATCTCGTCCATCTTAATGCGGTTGAGATCAAGAAATGATTCAATTAAATCCCCATCCAAAAAATTTCTGGCTTCAACAGTTTTCTTCTCGTTGTTAAACGACCTCCATTGCTCATGGCTGAGCCCTCCAACGCCTTTAATCACCTTCCTCAAGTTTGACTGAAGCTTCTCTAAGAAAACATACTGCTCATGAGGAAGAGAGGCAATTACCCCAATAACACCATTAATGGTGCCAAAAATAACAGTTGGAATCTGGCCCACATCAGAATCTGGCAAGCGCATAACAAGAGAGCCATGCCGGAACCGATTGATAAATTCTCCAAGGTGATACTCACCAACCACTTCAAGACGACCCCGTTCTTCATCAGTGGCACCTTCACTGTTTTTTCGAACAGTGAAGAGATTGAAACTATTTTCTGCACCTAGATATATATCATCATCAAGGATTTCCACAGCTGCCATCCAATTTGCATTGTAGTCACGAGCTCTCTCCTCAATAGCACCTTCTTCATGCTAATAATAAAGAACAGTGTATCATTCTAAAAGAAAATGCTCAATATACACTGAAAGTTGTCTATTCATTCAAAACGATGAGGAGTACAACAGTTTAAAATTTACCAATACTACACAGAAACTTTTTCATGTCTTTTAGGGAAGGGAGAAAATGAAATTAGAACGTTAAAAAAGGTTAACATTCAAGATGGTAAAATTTACTTGACAATAAACTTCTGCATTTAGACAATTCAGAGCCGTACCTTGTAGATTAGCAAGGAAATTGACTTCATCAGATCACCAACTACGATAAAATCTCCTCTAGTTTGTACATAAAGTGCTAGGATGTGTCCATGATGTCCACATTCCGACTGCAATTCATGGGTACCATCATCGCGAAGCACCCACTTGTACAGCTGAATTTTTTGATTAATAGCAGCAAGCAATTTACCGTTAAATGCATTCAAGCAGTAAACAGCTCCTTTTGTCTCCTTCTCAGCAATTAGCTGTAGCTTTCCATCTTCAACAGTAAAAACGAGAATTCTTCCCTACATGGTTTAAAATAGGCAAAGGAAGCAGGATATCAGAAGCTTTGACTAGAACAATACTGGAAAAATATACATATTTCTCAACTTGCCTTGGTTGGTTCATTTTCCTCTGGCAATACATATGCAGTTCCAACACAGTAATATACGTTATTGTCATCTGAGAAGGAGCAGCTAATTATAAAGCAACCATACTCGTAAGTGTCTAGAGGATAAGTTGATATGAACTCAAACGTCTGGTCATCCAGCAAGCGTACAAAGTGCATTTCAGATTCTTCAGCACTCGTTGGGTTGTATTTCAAACTACAAATAGCAAAAGTCCTGGATTGCTCCTGATGGCAGATTCGTCTTGCATGCTCCCCTAGTGGAATAGAGCGAATATGAAGTTTTTGTATGTCATCAATGGTGCCAATAGTAAGCTCACCTTCTTTTGCAATTGCCAAACTGTCGAAGTTAAGAATAGGGATGAGTACTGTTACCAGTAATGGATTTTGCAACAAAATGTACAAGACACAATAACAACAGATGGGGGTAAATCAATAATTATTGGAAGTAAAGCTAACAAAGAAATATACCTGTCTGGAAAAGCAGCAGAATTGAAAGGGCACATGTGACTCACTTCCTTCAGATTCACATTACTATAAAGTAACTTTTTGTTACTGCTATAAATCACAGTTGGCCGATCAGATGCAGCAAATACATGGGTAGTATTCTTGGATGAGAAAGTCCGTAGTGTAATAGGCTGTGTCCCAAGAGAGACCTTTTTCCTATCTGTTAACTCACCAGTACTTGTGTTCAACATAAAGTTTAAGAGATGGCCATCACCAAGGGCACATAGCAAGTAAGAGATCTGGAGAACAAAAATGAAAAAGATAATATATTTTAATAGAACTTTTCAAGCAAGGAAACCATTAATCTTGTGAGATTGGAAACTTAAAAATGTGTCACTTTAAACCTTGAACTACATTACAAAAAATATTAAACATGAACAGAATAATAGTAAAAAGATATTAACGTTCTGATCTAATATATCCCCTCAACTGCTAGAATATGTAATAGAAACCCAAAATCACTACTCCAAAAGTTGAACTTAAAATGTAAGAGATAAGAGTCCAAAATCATGATCACGCATTTCAGAAAAAAAATAATAAAGCAGAATTGAAATCATATAAAATAAAAGGCTCATTAAATAAGATAGCTCAACGAAAGCCTACCCCTTCAAAGGCACAAAGAAGAACAGATCGAGGTATTATCTCTCCTCCTAATTGCTCCTTAGTGATGAGATTCAGGTCAGGAAGAGAAAAAATTCTAACACTTATGTCTGTCCACATTCCAACGGCTGCTAGATGACTGTGATTTGGATTTTCACCAATGGGATTTATGTCCAGGCATGAAATCTCATACTCCAGTTGGGCATGCTTTACTTCCAGTAATACGCCATCCCCAATTTCAAGGTAAACCAAATGCCCTCCTCCTGTGGCCAACAGAACCTGTATCCAAGTGTAACAATATTACCAACTTGCTACAAACCCTATAATTTTTATCATAGTAAAAACTAGCAATGGAAATGTGCATAATGGAAAAGTAATGAAACAAATTGAAGCAAATTCATTTGAACAGCTACTTCTATAGAGCTTGATTGGATACCATACAGAAACAGAAATAATATTAAGGTAAGTTTTGAAGTTGCAGCCAAGCACAAAATTAAATTTCAGCTCCCAACATTAATTTGGCCAATGGCAAAAGAAAAAGCAATACTTCTAACAAAAATTAATTATAGTATTTCAATACCAATTTAGCAAAATTACTTTTGGGTGACCAATCACAAATATAAAACCTATACTTCCAAAAGTAATACTCCATAATTCACCCCATTCGTATATTACTTCCTAGTGAGTAGCTTGAAGTATGAGAGGATCTGGAATTCCATCCCCTTTAGAGCCTCCACACCTAACACACCCACTGAAACCCTCCACAGAATTGTCCCCTTCATGCTTACAGAAGCCATAAAGTAATTGTTCAAACAATCAACGACAGATAATGATTACTGATTCAACATTCCATTGGCTGTCTTTTGACTTTTTATCTCACGAGTTAACCACACATAGTGCCCGTTTGTATTACATTCTATATTATTTATCTCAGATTCTAAACACAATACCCTCCCCCCAAATACCACTAGCAGAAGTAGAACAGCTGCCCAATTCAAATTAAAAATTAGTGATAAGGAGCTGCTCATGGATGATCAACTTTCAACATCCTGACAGCTCATGTACATCAAAATATTCCCATGGAAAAGAGTGGGAGGGGAATGTGACAGATTCTGAAATTCTGCACCTGCTCAGAAATGCCACATTGATGAGGAAACTCATTGTAATTAGAAAACCACCATGCATATATAACCTACAATTTTAAAAGTTAACATTTATAAAGCATCCAAATCAAACCTGAGTAGCATTTGCAGTAGCTACATTTACTGAATAGCCAGATGGTGCATGCCATTCATTATGGAGCTCTCTAGTTGTGG